AAAACACCGGCTCTTGTACGATCACCGAAATTAAGCAACGTCAGGTCTGGTCAGTAACTGGATGGGTGATCGCTTGGGAATACTAGGTACTGTAAGCTTGGATGTGTGGGTTGGGGGTGGGGGGTATAATGAATAATGGCTCGGAATTGTAGATGGGAGAGTCGTGTTCCAATTCAAGCAGAGTTCGATATATTTACTTGCGCGCACTTGGGAAAGGTATGAATCCACTATAATTAGTAGAACTTGTATCACTAAATGACTATTATCTCAAAAAATTAAAATCCTTACAATCTAAAAATATTTTCTGGCTTTAAATAACCTGAAAATGGTTGATAATCCGTAGAAAATGTATCAATCAGTCAATCTCCACAAACTCCCATCCAGCGCAGCCATCTTGCACATTTATAAATCTACCATTCATTCATGCATTAAATATCACTGCCATATCTGGTCTAGTGCTCTTTTTATAAGGTTCTTGACAGGGTTACATCAAATTGAAACACCAGTTATCATACAATCACCAAAGTTAAGTATTGTTGAACCTGGTCAGTACCTAGATGGGTGACTGCTTGGAAATACCATGTGCTGTAAGCTTGGATGTATGGGTTGTGTAACGGATAATGACACAGAATTGTTAGAGTAGAGTTCCAATTCTCGTTAGGTACATTATATTCACTTATGTACATATAACCTTGGGAAAGGTATGAATCCATCTCTTCTCTCCCTAGCTATGGGTTAATTAATAAGATTTGTATCACTAAATCATTATTATTTAAAAAAAAAAAACAATTCTTACAATCTAAAAATATTTCTAAACAATAGTATATTTATGGGTTCTTTGTATGTTGTCTCAACCTGTGACACTAATTGTACAAATTTGATTCCAGTAAAAAAAATAATCGGAACAGTTTAGGAATATAACAAAGGTTGTCCATCAGGTCAGTGGAAAATCCAATATGTCTGACAAAGTAAAACTAGCAGTTGAGCTTAAAAAATGACATCCCATCATTGGTTAACTGGGGCAAGGAATGGCTTGTTTATTTTAATGCTTTCAAAACAAAACTATCATTTAATCCCCACAGAGAACCTTTTCTGCCATCCATCAGCATGGCTGATGCTCACCTACAGGAGAGCAACTCTTTATGCATTTTTGGGCTCAAGTTTTCCACTGACATGAAGTGGCATGATTATATTGACTCAGTTGCTACGTCTACAGCTAGGAAAGTTGGTTCACTGTGTTCTGCCAGACAATTTTTCTTATCAGAATCCATCTTGCACATTTATAAACCTACCATTCATTCGTGCATTGAATATTGCTGCCATATCAGATGCTGACCGGGCTATCTCGACATCAGTCACTTACCCACTGCCGTAAAGTGGCTTCTCTCTGTCTTTTCTGTAAATATTTTCATAGCAGTTGTTCTAATGAGCCCCCTCCCCCTCCTTGGTACATCGACTGCATGAATTTTACAAACTGACAATATGCTCTGATATATGAGAAAGAATGAAGAAAATAGGAACTTTAAAGAAAAGCTAGAAGCAATGAATAATTGTAAGAAGACACAATGTATGGTTATCAATAAAATAAACACTCAAGATACGAACTACCATTTGGAGATGTCAAAATCAAGCAAATAGGAGTTGGTAGGTGTGCCTATTGTGCGCTTCACACTCTTCCCCGGTCTTTTGACACATTCACAGAATATAACGAAAGCAAGATGGGCAGAGGGAATTATCGATTAATGTACCTAACGATTTTTTTGTGTGTAAAAGAACGGCAGAACAGGAACTGGGACGAAGAAGTGACCCTTGACACACAGTGGGTCACCAACCTTACGTGTTTATGTAAATGGTTGGGCAAACGGAGAGGGGAAGGGTTGGTTAAAAGACTAACATATTTTTTTTATATACATAATTTCATCCAAAGCAAGGCAATAATGCCACTAAGACGCAAGGAGGGGGAGTTACTAGGAGTAGAAGAAAATGAGAAGACTTTAGTGGGGAGGAAGGACAATAAAAGAACAGGATTCAGGAAGACAGAAAATGCCGATTCACGTTGCACTTAATTTTTTGAAGAATGTAGGTGGCAAGGAAGTACGGAACCGGAAGAGGAAGTACGAAAAAAGAAGAGAATAGAACATCCGGTTACATCTATCTATTTCAACAGTAAAACGATGAGACCTAATTACCAATCTAGTAATACGCTTAAATTCACGCAGTTGGGGTAGCAAGAAGGAGATCGATGTTTATTTGTACAATGATAACAAAATGTAGCACAAGTAGAACACCTGGCATGGAAATATAGAAAATACATATACGTCACAGATGTGGGACGGTCATTGAAGTCGAGATGCCAGGTCAGGATCGATAACGTTACAGACCTTTCTTTGTATCACCCTAGGGACACCAAGTCTACGCAAACAATCAAATAAGCGCATTGACAAGAACATTTTGTATCAAGATAATAATCGACAGAACAAACACACACAACTGTATACGTACGTATAATATATAGCATTTCTGTGGATGTAAAACAAACACAAATGTGTATGAGCAAAAGTCTGCAACAGGGATTGGCTAGTCGTCCTAGTAAACAGTTGTGCTCGGAAAAGGAATCACTAGTCATGATAATATATAGGTATATACATGTGCATATATAGTATATTTACATGTGTGTACGTGCGTATATGCGAATATATGTTGGTATATACATATATGCGTATAGTATACTTACATGTCTTTGCGTACGTACATGCAAATATATGTTGGTATATACAGGGTTCAATAAATGAGTCTGTAGCAAAATGCAGTTAATAGCTTAATTTTGATCGGAAAGTTTCATCGTATAAATTTTTCAAGCTATGTGACTAATGAATTATTATCGGGTTAAGTGTAGTGACAAGCAAAAGATTATTATAAATATATATATATATATATATATATATATATATATATATATATATATATATATATATATATATATATATAATATATATATATGCCTAAAATAATAAAAAATCATCATTAACATACAGACTAATTGATGTAGCTAGATAGACCGGCAAGTACTAAACGTTAAATTTTTACGCATCTCTCTCTCTCTCTCTACACACACACACACACACACACGCACACACACACACACACACATACATACATATATATATATATATATATATATATATATATATGGAGAGAAAGAGATAGATAGATAGATAGATAGATAGATAGAAACAAAAATGTATTGTAATGGCTTGAGTGAGAGTGGGTGAGAGTTATAATGTCTGTGTGTGTTTGTATGATACGGAGTGAGAGTGCTTGTGCGTGCGTTTGTGTGTGTGTGTGTGCAAGAGAAAAAGAATGAGTGTGAGAATGAATGTGAGTGAGAATAAAAGGGTGTGTGTGTGAAAAAGGGTGCATTAGAGTGTGCGTGTTTGAGTTCGGTGTGTGTGCGACCGAGAGAGGATGTGTAAGAGAGAATAAGTGTGTGAGAGGGTGAAAAAATCACTTAGCAATTCTAATGCTTGATTCTGGCTAAACGTTACGAAGTAGAGATTTGTTTATGTTCTAACCATTTGTCATATATATATATATACACACACACACACACACATATATATATATATATATATATATATATATATATATATATATATGAATAAATTACAGACATTATTGTTCAAGAAATTGATAGTAAGTTAATGTCTCATTAAGTCTTGCTTGCTATTTAATTTTGTATAAATTGTTTCTTCATGATATAAAATATCACGCTGCACACTTTAATATATATATATATATATATATATATATATATATATATATATATATATATTATTGCTATATACGTAATATTTTTAGTTGATACACGTGTTTAAGTAAAAATTCTTTGTTTTTGGTAGATCTTTCGACATTTTCTTCATCTTCTCTATAAAAGGCTCTTGAAATATCCAAGTCGACAAACAAAAATATACTATTTAAACAACAGAGACATCTACTCAAACACATATATCTATCAACTGAATACAGCGTATAATGTCATAAAAGATACTATCGAAATATGGATATAAATTCCTTAAAATTACTTTGTTTACGTTCGTTTCATGAAAACACACATACACACACACATACACACACACATACACACACACACACACACACACACACACACACACACATATATGTATTATAAGTGATTCTTTGTATATATTTTTGTTTTTTATTTTGTCCACAAGGTGGCCGGACCACAAGAATATTTTTGGAAATTATATAATTTTTGGCTACTTCAACAGCCTTGATCTGTATTTGATATTGAATATTTTTTCTTTATTTGGTGGGGGTTGTTAAATTTCTAACACCAGTCGACGTTAATTTTGTAATTTTCAGAAACTTTATTGTGTTCTCACCTATATATCGACAAAAAAACAAAAGATTATATAAAGAATATCTCTGTAATCACATTTTTTTTATATATAATATATGTAATGTAGGTACATTATATCAGTAGATATTCTCAGAGTGTATCTGTAGACAAAAAGAATAAAGAGACAAGAGGAAAAACTATACTTAGTCGACGCGTTTTGTTCTCTGAGGGACTTTATCAAAGCAATGTAGGATCTATTACATGTATATAAACACGTGAAGCATAATAAATCCTATATTACCCTGATAACGACACCCAGAGGACGAAACGCGTCGACTGAGTATAGTTCCCCTCTTGTCTTTATATATATATATATATATATATATATACACACACACATACATACATATATATATGTATATATATATGTGTATGTGTATATATATATATATATATATATATATATATATAAAAGTGAAGATAGAGTCAACACTTAGGGCGACAGTCTGTCGCCTCTAAGGTTGACTCATATCTTCACTTTTATGTTTCACTGTTACGCTCTATCTCTGATTTTGAGCACTTTATCCCATAAATATAGCACATCTAAGACCATATTTCTTCACACACACACACACACACACACACACACACACACACACACACATATATATATATATATATATATATATATATATATATATATATATATATATATATATATAGTCATCCACATGCA